ATAAAAGCAATCGTTATAATACTTTTTTGTATACATTTTAATTCCTTTGTTTAACATTTCTATCTGATTATTATAGACAGACTGCTGTCTGTGGACAGAACTATTAACGACGACAGCGAACAAGAGGGAGAATGTGAGCACTGTGTGTTCAGGCGCTGCTGCTCTCAGCGCTGTCAAAATAAAAGTCCCGCCTCGAACGCATCGGCCAAACAGTAAACATGATCTTTACTTAATATCCTAATGATTTTTGGCATAATAGAAAAATCGATAATTTTGACCCATACAATGTTTTTTTGGCTATTGCTACAAATATACCCCAGCGACTTAAGACTGCTTTTGTGCTCCAGGGTAAGGTTTTTTCCACGGAATCTGGCTACTTTTAAACTCTTTCTGTGGGTTGATTTTTCCCCGTTGGTTAAAGGTTTGAAATATTGCATAAATTCCATTTGACTGAAATGCTTGTATTGAAATATTTTCATAAAACTGCACTAAATGTTAAGTTTGTGAAGGAGGGCCACTGGTAGGAAGCCTTTGAGCAGTAACTGTAAACTATGTATTTTAGGTATGGAAATGACATTTTGATATTTGGGATATGGTCATTGTGTGGTTTTTGATGGCCATTGGGCTAGTTTTGTCACGCAGACCTGGCAACCCTGGCTGTACGGAGCAGAGCAGACGCTTTCAGTTTAGAATTGTAGTGTAGGTTATAACTAAACTAAATGATTTTTATTTCTATAAACAAGCGGAATGACAGTGGGCGGGCATGTAATGTAATTGGCAATACGACCAAACGCTTTGTAACACCGACAGCCGCAGCAAGACTAGTGTTTATGTAACGCCTTCATTCTTGTCATGCTATATTTGTTTGACCGCCCGCTCCCACGAGATTTGCGTTGTGTATGCAGCCCTCTAATATGAGATTAGGGATATGCCGGTATCAAATTTTCATGTTGCGATTAATTGCTAATACTTTTATCACGGTATGCGGTATCGCATTACCGAATACCGGCACAAGTCTCTATGAGATCAAATGATTATTTGACATATGGCTGTGCGATATATATCATCTGAGATAATATTGTTTAATTGTTGTTGTTGACATTATCGAGTATTTTGCAAAAACCAAACAAAACACCTACGGAGTGCACGCATACATTACGTGAAGAAGTCTAGTGGGCTAAACAGTGCGCGTGCGCATTTAGAGAGTGTTCGTTCACTGCATGATTCAGTCTATTAAAATGCATTAAGAAAGATCACAAAATTCAAGATATGGGGGCAGAAACATGTATCGTTTCATATAACGTTAGTTAAAATCACACGAAGAGTGCTGTTTTTTTTCTGCAAAAATCAGCATGATTACAAATGTGATACTGATTTTTTACAACAGTTCAATAAACAATAAGTTAATATTAAGAGACTCACCATATTGCCTGTTTTTGCTCTATTTTGCCAACAAAAAATAATTCCAAACAAAGCCACAGCGCTGTTGTGCATCTCTGAGCAACATGACGGTGTTTCGTTCCTGAATGAATCACTCGTTTAAATGATTCGGTTCAATCGCAATGACTCACTTGTTTACAGTGACTTGCTGCCACCTGCTGGCGGTTTTAATTTCACATTTAAAGTATCTTTTTTTTTAAAATAATTTCAAACATCAGTATTCAATGTTTTATGTTTAAAATATCAAAACATTATGCATTTGTAACTGCAGGTTAAAGCACTCCATGTCCCGCTGAGCTGAATTAAACAGTGTGCAAATGCATCTAAATGCCACTTCAGATGCAACTTCTGCAAAGATTAATTTTGTTGATACTGATTTCATTTGTTTGATAACAGCCTAAATGTCTTATCGAGATATAATTTTTTTTCAATATCGCACACACCCCTATTTCGACAACAAAAATACTTGTCGACACTTGTTTTTTTTTGACATCGTCAATAATGTCTAATTGTTTCAGCCCTAAATATAACTGATTAAGAAGTGCGTTTCTTACCCAGTAAGCATCTCCATTCTGATGTCCCACCATAACCATGAAGAGCGGCTGCTGCAGCAGAGCCACCACTGCACTGATCATAGACTGCAGCCCGGTGAGGGTGCCAAAATGATTGGACGGGTATCTATGAGAGAGAGAGAGAGAGAGACACTTCGTTTGTCCATAGTCTGCAGGCTGCTTAATTTTGAGACTGTAATGAAATGTTGTGGCACTGAAATGACAGGTCAAAAGGCATATGTGTGATTTCCTCAGGGCGACATAATCCATGTTACAGGGATTGAATTTTACACATACTCTGCTTTATACTACACACACAAACAGGGCAAACCTGATCCCGTGAAGTGCAGTTTTATAACCATCTGATTTTATAAGAGCGGGATAAGTCTGTACTTGCTATTTAACAGGTTTAGAGGAAGCAGTGTGTGTGTGTGTGTGTGTGTGTTTGTGTGTGTGTGTGTGTGTGTGTGTGTATATATGTGTGTGTGTGTGTGTGTGCGTGTGAGAGAGAGTGTGTGTGTGTGTGTGTGTATGTATGTATGTATGTATGTGTGTGTGTGTGTGTGTGTGTCTGTGTGTGAGTGTGTGTGTGTGTGTGTGTGTGTGTATATATGTGTGTGTGTGTGTGTGTGCGTGTGAGAGAGAGTGTGTGTGTGTGTGTGTGTATGTATGTATGTATGTATGTGTGTGTGTGTGTGTGTGTGTCTGTGTGTGAGTGTGTGTGTGTGTGTGTGTGTGTGTATATATGTGTGTGTGTGTGTGTGTGCGTGTGAGAGAGAGTGTGTGTGTGTGTGTGTGTATGTATGTATGTATGTATGTGTGTGTGTGTGTGTGTGTGTCTGTGTGTGAGTGTGTGTGTGTGTGTGTGTGTGTGTATATATGTGTGTGTGTGTGTGTGTGCGTGTGAGAGAGAGTGTGTGTGTGTGTGTGTGTATGTATGTATGTATGTATGTGTGTGTGTGTGTGTGTGTGTCTGTGTGTGAGTGAGTGAGTGAGTGTATGTGAGTGTGTGTGTGTGTGTGTGTTTGTACTCACACAGCAGCATACAGTCCTCCACAACACGAGTGAATGAAACCTCGTACCATAGTGTGAAAAATAAACGTCAGAATCTGGACAAAGAGAGCGAGAGTTATTAAAACATTCCCATCTACTGCAATTAAGACAGTTCTTATGCAAATAAACTCATGCTCCAAAGTTAGGGCTCAGTCAGATTTTAAAAAAAGAAAATACTTTTAAGACCCATTCACACCAAGAACAATAACTATAAAGATGTTTACACCACATGTTGTACACGGAAGCAGTTCCGGGGAATGACGTATGAGGTCAGTGCTTCGCATGCGCTGCTCAGAAGTGACGAACGCGGAAGCACAGAGGAGAGATCAAAACAAAACAACGGTCACGAATTAGAAGTACAAAAGTAGTGTATTTGCAATATAAAACTGGAAAATCCATCAATCCACTCACAACATGAGCTACTTAGTCTGCTTACAGTGCTGCGTTATAGATGAATTAAACTCATTCCATAAATGAAGAACTTTACACAGTTATGAAACTGAACTGAATCAACGATGAACTGACTTTAACTGAAAAACTGACTGTTTACGATTGTCTTTTTAGAGCTGATTTACAGCAGAATTGAATTTTGTCTGCAGCATTGAAACATTACTTTCCTGTTTAACAGTGTAAATCTGCTTTGGCACAATCTATACTGTCTAAAGCGCTGTAGAAATAAAGGAGACTTGACTATGAGGCTGATCAGAGTGTTTTACCTGTAGAGGAAGGTTGTCTACGAGCGAGAGGATCCCAAACAGCATGAGAAGCACGTTTGTGAAGATGAAGGCTATTATGGCATTGGTCAGCTTCTGGATCTTTCCGTCACGCTTCGGCTCCGCAACAGCTCTGGCAGGAGACAAGAAGCCAAAGGCCATATTTTACAGAGCCATCAGGAGATAGTCTGTTCGTTTGCTTCTTATATGCTCTTCCCGGGCAAAACAAAAGTCGCCATTTGGATTTAAATAAGCAAATAGTGAAGAGTCTAGGATTGGATCATTATTGCAGTGATTAATATGTTTCTGGCATGTTTGGTGACAATTCTTTTAAGCCAAACTGATGCAGTCTGTCGCTTTTCTTTTCTTAAACAACCATGTTGATAGATGTACCCATGTCCATATCTCAGGACGACAATTTCACGATTCTTTGGACCAAAGTTGTGAAATAGTGGTTCAGTGAGCACGAGGAATCATGTTCATGCACGAGTTGATTGATTGATTGATCTTAACCTCACGATTCGATTAAAAATCGATTCACGATTGTGGATCAAATTTCGATTCGATTTATGCATAGATTTGATTCTAGTTTACGGTTTTGTGTTATTTTTCCTATTTGACTACAGTAGACAGTTTAATAGGTCTTGAAGAAAAAAATCTCACCGAATTAAATGTAAACCTTGAAATATGTATATTTTAGTCCGCCTAGTATTATAAAACAAATGCCATTTCAGCTGACTGCAATCATGACACACACGAGTCGTCTGTAATAAAGCAATGCAGCCCTGAGACAAACTGCTTAGTTAGTACATAAATAAAATCCCTTGATACAAAAATATGAAAATCGATTCACAATTGTGGATCAAATTTCGATTCGATTTATGCATAGATTTGATTCTAGTTTACGGTTTTCTGTTATTTTTCCTATTTGACTACAGTAGACAGTTTAATAGGTCTTGAAGAAAAAAATCTCACCGAATTAAATGTAAACCTTGAAATATGTATATTTTAGTCCGCCTAGTATTATAAAACAAATGCCATTTCAGCTGACTGCAATCATGACACACACGAGTCGTCTGTAATAAAGCAATGCAGCCCTGAGACAAACTGCTTAGTTAGTACATAAATAAAATCCCTTGATACAAAAATATGGTAACACCTTAGTTTAGGGACCAGTTCTCACTATTAACTAGTTGCTTATTAGCATGCCTATCGTTAACATATTGGCTGTTTATTAGTACTTATAAAGCACGATCATATTCTACATCCCTAATCCTACCCAATACCTAACCTTAACAAATACCTTACTAACTATTAATAAGCAGCAAATTAGGAGTTTGAGGCAAAAGTCATAGTTAATGGTTTGTTAATAGTGAGAATTGGACCTTAAAATAAAGTGTGACCCAAGAATTTAACCTTTTGCATATAAAAAATGGTAAATAAAATAAATAAATAAACAGAAGGACAAATAAAATAGAAAAAAAAAAAAAAAAATTTTTTATAAGTTTTTCAGGTACAGTAGCCTAGGTTTAATACTTCAGAAATATAATAATTAAAATATAAAAATAAAACACTACATAGTGTTCACTGTATGAATTACATATAAATTGATTCATAATAAAGATACAAAAGTGATTAAGTTTTTTGTTTGTTTGTTTGTTTTATTAACATTAATGTTACAGACGGCAACAGTTTATTAGTCTGCTGTTCCTTTAAGAACGAACGCACGGATCTAATATACTGTTACAAATCCGATTTGCTCCGTCCGAACTGTTTACGTTCACATAACAGACTGTGCTTATGTGAATACTCCACACAATGTGCATTTTGACTTAATTGTGTGTGTATTTGACCGTTTAAGCGCAATAAGCTGTGAAAGAGAATTGAATTCAGGTTCGCATGCATCTGAGAGACGGCATTTGTGCTCGCGCTTCGGCTGCATGTCCTTCAGTGAAGTTACAGTCAAGTTAAAGAAATGTATAAGATCCAATTAGGGGTGTGCGATATTGACAAAAAATAATATCTCAATAGTTTCTGGGATTTTATCGATGACGATAATTAGACGATATTTTGCTGAGTGTGTTATTGTGCTGGTACCTTAAGGACTGCCGAAGACAGCTGACTCCTAATGTTTTTAATATTCTTCATATTCTGTGTGCTGGTCAGTTCATACTGATAGAAATTAATCTTTTCCAATAAGTTTAAACAGATTTTTACATTTTATGGGCATTTTTACCTTTAAAA